GGGGGGGGGGGGGTACTAGGGGTATGACAAAATGGCTCAGGGAGTACACAAGTCTAAAAAGGTTGGGAAGCACTGGTCTAACTAAACGCACAAAGCAAATCCTTGAATTTTTTGTTTGTTTTCTTTTATTTATCTTTCTTTATTCTTCTCAGCCTCTCCTGTATTGAGCTGCAGTAATGTGCAAATTTCCCCACGGTGGGATCAATAAAGTTTTATCTTATCTTATTTGGTTTACAAACTTAAGTCAGCCAAATTCAGTACAACTTATATATGATGACAAAATAAACAAAACACATCTTTGTAAAGTATTCATATATTTAAGTAAAAAAAAAACTTGGATGTGAACACAGTACTTGAATAAAGAATTGACTTCTTTTGAAGCCCTGCATGTCTGTCAGTGTGTTCTACCTGCATCCAAGGAAGATGTGGTTAGCCCAGACCATAGACAGGGACAGCAGCCTGTCCAGACTGCTGCTGGGAGCCCCGGGCTTCACTGTGGGGAAAGCCTCCATGTTCCTTAGGATGAACTCTCTCCGAGCCGACCACTGCTTGTTGCTCTCACAGTAGCTTCTGAAGGAGTCGACCCACTGGGCCAGCTCCGGGTTCTGGTTCAGGTACTCTGACACGTCGTCTCCTCTCCTCTCCTCTGCCATCCCTGATGGACGAACGAAAACAGTGAATCACAAACTTGCTGTTTTGAATTGATGGAGCACAGAAGTCAGTGTAGCCTAGTTGAATATCTCGGATTAGGAAGTCTGCAGAATGTTTGTATATTTATGTCTACTATGTTGTTGGTAAATTGTGTCTGGTTAGTTAGGCTGATTAGTAAATGTTTTTTTTTATTAAATACCAAGCAACTCCATTACCTTACGATAAGTTGAACCAAACAGCAAGTCGCGTAACGTTACATTAGCGAAACAACAAAGCACGTTAACTACAACGCGACATGTAGCATGTTTACAATGACTAACACGGTCTTCGATGCGTGTCAGGTCAGCATGAAGTCGAAATTTTATTTTAAAACTACGACATAATGCTGTTTGTGTTGCGATATCTTGCTAGCTAGCTAGCTGCATGACCGAATAATGACGCAAAACTGGCGACTTTGCGAGTAAAACTACATTTCCCAGAATCCAATTGTAAATCTACGGGTTGGCATTCCCATGCTAACTTTTGGTATGTTTACGTCGAAAGTTTAAAAAGTGTGCGGAATTGTACTGCAAAATCACTGAGTTATTCTTTGTAATATTATGACACCAAAATAAATACATAAATTAGAGTCGGTCACGGCTGTGCGTCCATGCAGCGGTACTTCCGTTCTACGTCAGTAATCTGCGACACTTAGGACTGATGGCGGTTTGATTTGTTGAATGGTTTTTGAGCGAGTCTGCGCTGTTACCTGTTTTTATCAGGTAAAATACAATGATTCACGAGCTGTTACTGGCGCTAAGCGGATACCCTGGAGCAATCTTTGCATGGAACAAACGAACAGGTTTGCAGGTAATTCAAGCTGACTGCTGCAATAATTATACGTTTCCGATGTTAGCTAATTATTGCACTTCACTTCAGGATATTATTTTAATTTCAGTCTATTCTAATTATTGTTATAGGACACAGTAAAAAAGTATTTAATTCTTAAAATGTGTCAATGCATTTTGAATTATAAAGAAGTCAGATAATTTATTATTCTAGTGAATGAGCAACTTTTAGCTTCCTAGCCAAAATTGAGTTCGAACACACATGCCTAAAAATTACAAGAGTAAAGTGCGTTTCCCAATAAAAGCGTCCATTAAAAAATATAATTAACATAGTCCAGGTTTTGCAGCTCTGTTGAGGGAACAAAGGAGTTAGAGCAGAGACCTTCTCATCCCAGGAAAAATGTAACATCAGCCTGAATGAATGAACACGACTGTGAGAGTAACRTGACAGACAGATGACCTCACATCTCCATAAAGTCTGCAGGTGGTGTGAGCTGTTTGTGCTGAAATGCTGTTTGGTTTTTACAAACAGCGCTGTTTATCTGTTCTTTGGCCTCATCTGTTTAAAGGTCTTTACTCAAGGTGTGTTGTGGTTCATTCATAATAAACTTTACAAGCTGTGCTGCCATGTTCTTTTTAGAGAGAAGATACTTTCTCATTACAACCGTTAAATTACGAACCCTTTACCAGACTGAGGGGTAGGGCTGTGTATTGGCAAGAATTTGGCGATACGATACATATCATAACAGAGGGGTCACGATACGATATATCCCGATATATTTATAATTATATAAAACAAAATGTGTCT